TTATTCAATAATTTCCAAAAAACATAAAAACATAAATTCTGAAAATATTTTTTAAAAATAATCTTAAAATATAACAAATTTTTGAAAGTATCATATAAAATTTTAATATCATACGATATTTAGAATTTTTTTACGTCAAAAATTATTTTTATTTTATTTATTTACAATTATTGATTTACAACATTTAAAATGCAAGCATCCTTGCATAAGAAGGGCTCTTCCGAGATTCGTTTACATCACTGCTTATTCATGTAGTATCTCTCCCTTTCTCTCATATCCCTTCCTTGTCCTTCGCCCTTTATCTATTCTAGTACCAACCCCTTTATTATTATCATCTTCTCTTTTTCTCTAATTATCCCGCTATCCTCTTGCCTCTCTCTTTTCGAGTTTCGCTCTTCGCCCTTTCATCCCTTTATCGCCCTAATTCACACTCCCTTCTTCGTCGTGTTTTTTTTCCTTTTCCTTTCGTTACGCTTTCCCTTCCTTCTCAACACGATTTACCCCACAGACAAAAAAAAATTCGTGGGGTTCGTCGTGAATTATACCGACAGGGGGATGCATAGGCGAGACGACGACGCTGGCGGCGTCGCGACGCCGCCTAAAATGCTCATGCGTCAATCGATCCGCAACTTTCGCTGAAGAAAAAAATTCTTTGGCGTGTCTCGACGTCTTTATCAATCGTCAAAAGTTTATTCTCCATCCTTGTCGATCTCGTATCCTTTGAAACCGTAGAAACAGTTCAATGCTCATTTCGCGAATAATGAATCATGACTGATTATTTTCTCTTCTTTCTGCGCATTGATTTTGAAAATGATGTCGCGAATTGTCTGCCATCTTTTTCGATTAATTAAAAATTCTATTTATGAGATAAATAAAATTTTCGTAATTATAAAAGAAAAAATACAAATATTATATTTGTAAAAAGAAATAAATACTTTTATTAGAGTGACATTTATCTTTTATATAGGCTTCAAAAATCTCTCACGTCTGATTTCTCATTCTTTTTTTGCAATTCACGCAACGAATGATACAAAATATATATTCCGATTTCAAAGACAGCAATGTAAGAAAGAATAACTGTATTGCTCGAAAAAAATTTTATCTTTCTTTGAATAATTAAATATAATAACGTTTGTTGCAGAATAAAAACAGAGCTTCGCATCATTGACAACCTTCATACGACGTCTAGATTATCCAGAGAACCAACACATTACTACTAGTACACATTATCGATCTGAGTTCAGCGCCATTAGGGTAAGAAGAAAGAAAAGAAACATGTTTATTTAGATATATTGGAGAAATTGTGTTACCTAAAGACATAAACTTTAAATTTTCCAAACATTAACACAGTTTAAGTCTGACTGCTTGCTTAAGTTTCCAATTTAAAATTAAATTTAATTAAGCGCATGTTCAGTTTTTTTCAATTATCATCCGAAAATTCAGTTTTGTATAGAAATCTTTGTAAGTATTATCTATATTTTGTCAATTATATAATATATTATCTTAATTGCTATCTAATCCTCTGGAACTGGCGATAGATCTATATTTATATATAAATATTTATATAAATCTCTTAGTAAAAAGTCAAACAATTGAATTTTCTTTGTTATATCCTCAGTAATCACCTTTCGACTAGTATTCCACCGGAGATCGGTTTTCCTCGGCCGAAGATTCTACTATCTCACCGGAGATTGATAACTAGTACCGAAATTGCCGAAATTGAAATTGTCTTGTAGTGCTTCAAAAAAAGTCAGATTTGGCTCTCCTCTTTGTCGAAGATTACAACAGCCTTGTCGTTTGCCATTATTGAAATTTATTTTGCTTTTTAATGTATTCTCTAAAAAAAAGATTTATCAGATTTGACCCCTTCCTTTGGAAATATTTTTTTTAAAACTGAAGAAAACACGCACACTTAAAAAAAGGTAAAGAAAAAGGTCATCAAAATTTTAAACAATTAACCTTAGATTTAATCAAAAAGCCGAAATCTCTGGCTAAAAATCGGAGAAGTGATAACCGAGGTTAATCTGAAAATTCGAATTTTATTTTATTTTAATATATAATTAGTATTCTTTTATATACAAGTTATATATTTTGATTTCTTGAAACTGAATGCTATTTAATTAATATATTATAAATTAAATAGGCCTTACAAATCCAGCATTAATAACTGTTAGAGATTTTAATCTTAGCTCCAGAGAGTTAAGAAGTATTTCTAAAAATATTCAAAAAAGCACGCTACGAAATTCTACGTTTAGTTATTATTCAATATATATTTATATAAAATTTTATCTCAAATCACAAAATCAAAGTGATCTTGCGACTTCTATCTTAAAGCCGGCGGCACACGATGTTTTTTTGTTAGATTGTTAGCTGGATTAGATTCTTATCATTGTATTGGCCAATACTGACACTTTCAGTACCACAGCCAATACGGTGACAAGATTCTGATCTAGCTAGCAATCTAACAAGCATTGTGTGTTCCCGGCTTTACATTATCACAATCCTTAGGTATGCCAATATAACTCATCTTTATTTTTTTCTTAGGTTTCTTACTATAATAAAATAGCAGACATGGATGAAGACACTAATTTATTACAAGCTTGGTTTAACAAAATAATAGATATGTCTTCAAATAGAAAAAGATCTAAAGTCGTCGCCGAAATGTGCGATAAATGGGACTACGTACCTGCGCTTAAAAAAATAAAAGTTAAGAAGGAAACGAAAGAATATCTCGGACTAACACAGAGGTTTGAAGCAGCAGTAAACGATGTTCTAGCTGGAGCAGAAGAGAAATTAATCGCTAAGAATTATGAACTTGATTTCGAGACACTGTGTGACGAAGTATGCCGCTTCAAAAATTCTGGAGCGAAGATATACGAGTACAATGGAACCGGAAGAATTTTCTCGTTTAAAGAGGAATTACTGTTATTGAAGATCTTGGCCGCAATTCCACAAGCCCATTGCATATGTCAGACCTGCACGTTAGAACGACTGCCATATATAGCTTATCATATGGCTCGAAAGAAAAATAAGATATATCCGCGTGAGTGGGATGTAAATCAACGAGCGGGAAAAGGATGGCTGATAAATTTCGAAATAGAATACGATTATGAGATCTTGAATTCATTCCCGGCTGTATGTAAGCTGACACAAAATAATCCGAGCGAAGTAAACGAAAAAAATAAGAAACAAAAGATATAGAAAGATATTATCTATCATAAATTCACAAAGTTAATGGATCATGTAGACAAACTCTAAGTAAACACCAACTAAAAATTGACATAATATCAATGTTATAATTTCATACTAAACAATGTAAGTGTTATGTAACATATATATGTTACACTCTAAATTTCTTGGAGTGAAATCTCACTCATTAAGATAGTGAAAATACAACCACTTTCAAAAAAGAGTGAAATATTTCATTCCTTGTAATAACAATTTTTGCTCTTTTTCAAGAAGTGAAATATTTTCACTCTCTTAGAATATATATTGCATTTTATATTGTTAATACTGTACGCTTTTCATTTGGTGACACAAGTTGATACTTGTGTCATCAAATGAAGAACGTCAAGTATGAAATTGTAATGTTGATGTTAATAATTATAGTGTTTACTGAGGTGAATATTAATTTCTAAAACTGATTTGCTTGTGAACTTAAAAAATGATTAATCAAATGAAAAAGGATAGGCAACCATCATTCTTAATCTTAAGTTTTTCTATATATCATAACCTTAAGGCTAATCATCAAAATTAATCTGAGAATTTTCACCACACAAAAGTTACATTTTATATTATCTAATATGACATCATAAACAAAATTTTCTACCTACAATATATAATTCCTGTGTATATCTGTCATTGTAATAAAATGAAAGTTTGATAACTTTATTGTTTATTATTACAGCTCTATCTGAAAAAACTCCTCTCAAAATGAACTTACGAATAGGAACAATGTCCATTCTTTCCGAATTATTGTCCAATTTACTATAAACTGATTTTGTAATAACCGAAATTTATACTCCTCTTTAACTTGACAATCTTTTAAAATCACTAGATTAACAAAGTACCGCGAACTGCCACCATTTTGGCTTCATGACGTGCGGACTTTGTTAATCTAGTGACTTTTACAATCTTTAAATGGCGCGCCATTGCGGTGTTATCGATGAATTGAAAATGATCTGCTGATCTCTTGATGGAATTTCTGGCGTCATCTTTCGACGCCTTTAGCGAACTGTGTTCTGTAATCACTGAATTATCAGCACCTTTTGAGAAGTGAACTTTGTCACGATAACCGGTAGACCTTTTAGTTTCACTGCCGAACTTTTTTCCCTTTCTATTCTTGTATTTATTGTCAGAATTCGAGGTGTATTTCTGTATTTTAAAAGTATGATGCTGCAAGCCAGCTTTAGGAACCTGGTGACTACATCGATCAGGGTAAGTCATGGATGAATGGATGATTTCGTGCAGAATATATTTCGTGATATCGCTTTCGTAACATTTTGTAGGCACTGTTAGTATGATCCTTGTTCTTTTTTATTAGAATTGATGAATTTATGCCTGCACAGATAGCTAAACCTATTTGTTAGATTTTCAGAACTCACTGAAAAATTCTCAGAGTTTTTGTATTATGTGCAAAAGTGACTTCAGATTGGTTATGTCATTTTTTTCTCTGCGCTCGTATATCACCAAATCTGTTTTTTTCAGTTTCTATGTTACCTTCTGCACTCAAAAGAATGAAAATAAAGATTTAGCTGAATAATAACAGAATGTGATAAACAGAATGATGATAATAGAATGACAAAAATTTTTAAAAACTAAATTTTATTTATATCATATATATATATATATATATATAT